AAAAAAAAAAAAAAAAAAAAAAAAAATGTTGGAAAATCTGTGCTCGATGTTTTAATTGTCTAGTTCAATTATCTTATAATAAGTCATAAAGCAAACATAATAAAACATTAAGTTGCATACTAATATAATCATGTTATGTTTAATATCAATATCATATATTCTAATTATTTATTATATAGTAGCACATATAAGTGAATTGGTAGTTGAGCCAAATCTCTAATACTTTAATGAAGTCATTCAAGTTTTTTCTTTTCCAAAGGTATCTGAATTGCCAAATGAAATAATACTACTACATATTACAATGTGATTTTGTTATGCTTTATTATTTGGATATGGTCGGTCGTCGGTGCACTATAAAACATGACAGCCACATCTGAGTTTGACCGAGTCTTATATGAAAGACCCCGCGTTGAACCTTATACTATTTGCTAATATTGCTTTTGTATTTTAATTTCCCTGTTTGTGGTAAATTAAATTGTGGATCCAAGAATCTAAAGATGCTTTCAGTAAATTTTGAATAAAATAACTGACAGTTGTGGAAACTTAATTAATGAAATTTCTTTTCATTTTCACAATTCAACCACAAGTACCCCTTCAACAATTGCAATATTTCTTTTTTTTTTCTTCTTCGTTGAAAAATGAATTACTAATACATCTTAAATATTTCCACATAAGAAAATATATAGCAAACAAAACCAATATATACATCCTTGAAATGTGAATGGGAATAAGCATACTATACTTACAATGAGACCTGAGGAACCTTCATGTGTAAGCACTAAGCATTGAGTATAATGGTAACCATTTATAAGAGCCCCAAATTGGTGCCTTTTCTTTTCTTCCTCTTTCTGCAATGCACCTTTTCTTAAGAAAAGTATTAAGAATCATTTTCTCCCAATCAAACATTCCCCTCTAAGATTTTTGTGGGATTTGGATTTCTTTTTTCTAATAATAAGTTACATGGTCTACTTTTCTTTTAGACGCATTTGATGTTAGGCAGATCTAACCATTATACGTTGTACTTTTTTATTATTAAATATGAACAATTTTATACGCAAATAGTATATATATACTCTAGATAATGTAACCGTATGCATATTTTTAATTAAAAAGTATGACGGGTCGACCTACCTAACAGAAACTTCATTCTTTCCAGACCACATAATTTGTTACTACGTACACCGCGTGCTTATATTTTAAACAATCTAAGAACATTTTTTCTAATCCCCAACAGTGCACTAAAATCATTGAAAAAATACAAACAAACACAACTATTTGAACTCTTTAACGTATAGGTGTGCAGTTTAGTGGAGTAAAATGAATTTTCGAACCAAGTATTCAAAAGGAGTAAACTTTGGTTTCATCCTCGCATGACAGGGGGAAAAGTGAGAATTGCAATCTTTGTTTGTATATAATCATAATTAACCTCACGCGTGTAGGCTGGCCATTAGCATAACTTGGAGGGTGTTATGATCATAATACAATACATGTAACCATAAAGCAACATACAATACATTGTGTGTGTAGGGTCAAGATGACCTTCAAATGGAGTGCTAGTAAGGCATAATCGTGTATGTATATGGTTCATGCTTGCTAACATCCCATGTGAGAATTTAGCCTCCTCTTTTGGAGAAGTCTCACTACATTTAATCGATTGTTAAGCAAGTTTAATGGTTATAAATAGCCATATTATTATTATTAATTATTATTATTATTATTATTATTATTATTATTATTTAATAAATATGCATGTGTTTAAACTTAGATGGCATATGGCTAACAAAAATGTAAACAAAAATATGATATTTGTAGTATAAATGTGAAATATTGCTAAAATGTGTGACGAATCGTCTCGTCTTTATTTGGATGAGATACAACGGCAATTGGCTTGGAGAAATTCGACAATTTAAGTTAGAATTTATTATTCAGAAAATAATTTTGTCTCATAAGAATTTTGACAAGTTTGATTGAGCAATGAAGCATTTATATATGTTGAGGAGAGTTTCATTGATATTTTTACAAAGCTTTCACTTTTGACTATATCTTGTTTTTGAATCGTTGAAATTTACGGATAGTTTACCATAGTTTTTCATGCTTTTTGGTCGTTGTGGCTTACAGTTTAAGTATATTGCAATTTAAAATTAATCAACAAAAAGAAATTAATTATCTATTGACAGCTAAATTTATTAAAACAACTTACTGGTATCTAAAGATAGCTGATTTTTGCTTACACTACAAGTCTGCCTTTGGTCAAATTCTTGACTTTTGTCCAGTCAATATGATTTTGTCCACGATCCATTTTTTCTGTATTCCTTCTCACTGCTGATAAAATGTTTTGATGAATAAAATGAAGAAAATTTGTTCAGACATTGTCATGCTTTGCTCCAGAAAATCATAAAAAAAAATAAAAAAAAAAATTGTGTGTCTAATTTATGGGATTTGGCATGATATGCAACAGTGTATAAATGGTCAATTATTTTCTGTGACCAATTAATTAAATCGCAATCACCTCCGCTCAATTTGGCCAAGAAAATAATAACTGAAAGAGAGATGATTGTGTGACATTTCAAAATTGTGAGTAAATAAATATTTGTGAAAATACATATCCGTCGGTCTAATTGTTACTAAATTGATTGATTGATATTAAAAAGGACAAAAAAATGCCGTAAAATGATCAGATCGTAAATTCTCAAACATATCGCGGTGCAGAAAGAGTCGCGCAGGCCGGCCACCCAACTCAACTGAGACAGAACCTCCATTTTCCTTTTCTTTCTGAAAAAATAAAATACAAAAATACCAAAGGCTCACACACACACACACACACACACACGTATATATATATATATAAGTATGTAGTCTGTAGAGAGAGAGAGAAGAACCTCGGTGCTGCCATTTTCATCGCTCCACCCGAACAAGAGCCTCAACAATCACTTTCAGCAAAGCGTAGAGTCTGCTTGAAAATGTAAAAGAAATGCGGTTTTCGATTTTTTTTTTTATTTTATTTCTTACCCTTTTCTTCGTTTGATGTTGAATAGATCTTGAAATGAATCTTCCTTTTTTCTTGATAGCGAACGGTTCGAGGAGCGCCGGCGACGGCCATTCCGAATTTCGACTCCTTCCGAATCCGGTTGGCGGAATAAAATTGGAAGCGGCTGTGAGATAGTTTTGGATTGAGAAATTGAACATCGTCTGATTGACTGACGGCGGCGGAAATGGATGATAGAGGAGGAGGAGGATCGTTTGTTGCCGTGCGGCGTATTTCCCAGGGGCTCGATCGAGGAAGCGCATGCCATTCCACTTCTGGTATATTCCTTTTCCCTTTTGGAATCGTTTCTGTGTGCGTTATCTTTAATGTTTTCTCTCTCTAACTTTTTCATCTTCTTTCTCGAAATGGTATTTTGATTTTCGTCTCATTTTCCACTATGTGTCTGTATGCATAACTGTATGCGCATAATGTGTACTCAAGTCTCAAGTGCATGTTGAAGAATAACGAAATCGAGGAAGTTGCGTTAATTGATGCCTACTTGCGTTGAGATTTTTGGTTGTTTCCATTGTTTCTGTTTTTGGAGTTCGGCTCTTCTTCCTTCTGTAGTTCCCATTTGCTCTGTGTTTTTCTTGAATCAAGTTGGAATCAGCAATTCCGCCTACTTATTACAAGTTTTGTATTGTTTGTATTTATGTAGAAAATTTGGTTACAGAACAAGGAATAGCTGATTTCTGTTTGGATAAGATTTTAAATCTGTTACGATTTGGTAAAAAAAATTCACATACAGGACCTTCCGTGGCAGTGGTAAATTCCAGGGTTTTGAATAGGTTTTATAAATTTCATTACTGTACTTGCTTCCATGTCATCCCTCTCAGACCTGCTCCTGAGTTCTTGTTTTTCTTTTATTCTGGAATTTGTGTTAGAGTTTTCTTAAAATGTGTAAAGATTGTTCTGTTTAACAGTGATTAAGAGGGCAACATAGTGTGTATGGTCGAGGTTTTGCATTTCCTGTATAGTATATTTGTTTTAACTCTAAACTTTTCAACGTAATGTAGTACTTTAGTAATTTAATGTAAACAAACATGAGTACATACATACTTGGAGAAAAATGGAATCTCGATATAAAAAATATGTTGCATCATTTCAGGAGGAACTAGGAATGGACTCTTCATATATTACTTTGTTTATCTTTGCCTATCATTTCATTTTGTTACAGTGGAGGTTGTGGCAGGGTCTGCTGCATGGCTAGGCAGAGGCATTTCATGTGTTTGTGTTCAAGGAAGAGACTGTGATGCCCGTCCATCATTTGATTTGACACCAGCACAGGTAATTTTCTATTTTATTGAATTTTTTGAACCATGGTTTCTGTTATTATTTTGCTCTTAATATCCCACAGTTGGTGCCTACTTAACTAGATTCTGATGTTTCTGTATTACTCTCTGCATCAGGAGGAATGCTTGCATAGGCTACAGAAGCGGATAGATGTTAACTATGATAGTTCTGTTCCAAAACATCAGGTATAATTTAATAATTTATAGAACTGCAGATGGGAGAGCTTCTATGAGTTTAGTTCCACTTTCTCATCATTAGTTCCATTTTCTTTATAGGAAGCTTTGAGGGCTTTGTGGCGTGCTGCCTTTCCTGGAGAGGAACTCCATGGACTAATATCAGAGCAGTGGAAGGAAATGGGTTGGCAGGGAAAAGATCCATCGACAGATTTTAGGTATGCTTGGACTTTCTTTGATCCCGAGGATCAAATTGGCAAAAATATTATTCATGTTATTGTCCTATGGCTGTTATTCCTTAGGGGTGGTGGTTTCATATCGTTGGAAAATTTGTTATACCTTGCAAGAAACTTTCCAGTAAGCTCGCTCTCTCTCTCTCTCTCTGTCTCTCTCTCAGTGTTGCTTGTTTGTCTCTCATTCTCTGCCTGTTATTTCCACCTTAAATCATAATGTCCTGGTGCATACAGTGGAGTGGATTATCACGCTGCTTCTGGGTGTTGTGTCTATAAATGACTTATCGCATTTGCTTTGTCTTTACTTTCTCTTCAACTGTGTAAATTGGAGAAATTTGACCTCAACTAAATTTTCTCATAGAAATCCTTCCAAGATCTCCTTCGGAAAAAGGAAGGTGATCGTGCATTGTGGGAATATCCCTTTGCTGTAGCTGGTGTCAACATCACATTCATGCTTATACAGATGCTTGACCTTGAAGCAGGTGAATGTTCTGAGACTAGTATCTTAATGATCTTGTGTCTTTTTGGACCTGAGTCCTGTTAATGTCAAGCCATAGTTTTCCCCTTTGCCAATTGCTTTCATCATAAAACTTCTGGTGCAGTCTATCTGTGTTAGTTCCACGTTTGTTGGTAAAATATACAATTTTAGAGTTTGAATATACCTACATTACTTTTGTAGTTAGTATATAATATCAACTTCTTTGATGACATGCTGTACAGATCTTTCCATTTCTTGGTTATTTTAGTAATTGGAGTTGAGGTAGATAAATTGCTAAACATGGGTTCTTTGGCACGATTTGTGAACAGATGTACCTTTAATGAACTTTTGAAAAAAGTCTTTTACAGATAAAATGACTTTTGTTGATTGGATCTTGCTGCTGTTGTTTAATCTGTTCCCTCATCTTTGCAGTGAAGCCTAGAACACTTGTGGGAGCCGCCTTCTTGAAGTTCCTCACAGGTAATGATATTAATCTGGTGTGCATTTGCTCTGTGAACGGATTAGAAACATAAGTTAATCTCTTGGTTTGATCCGTGCACATTTTTGCTTAATTCACTCACTTTTGGCTAATAGAAAATGAATCGGCATTTGACCTTCTGTACTGTATCACATTCAAGCTAATGGACCACCAATGGCTCTCCATGCACGCCTCTTACATGGATTTCAATGTAAGAGTCCTTTTGTTTTGGAACAAGTGATTATGCTCGCTGAGATAGTTACATAATTGCCAGAAACCAATGATTGAGTCTCTTGCCTATTATTGAATCAATTTTCTTTTAATTTAATTTAACTTTATCTTGTACATGATTTATGTAGTCTTCATTTCATTCCATTTATTTATATCCTTTATGGAATGGTTAGACTGTGATGAAAGCCACTCGACGTCAGCTGGAGAGGGAGCTCCTGCAAGAAGATGTTGCAAGTCTTGAAGATTTGCCCTCCTTTACCCTTCTCAGTTGCTAATCATTCATAACTACACGCTAGTAGGGTTTTGTCCCCTTTTTTTTTTAGGAGTATCTGTGAAGGTAATGGAGGAGAAGAGTTTTAATGCCAGAAAATTATTGATGACATTTGAGTATAACAGTCAAAGAAGACGTCTTCTGTCAACTTCTTTTTTATTTTTTTCTTTTCCTTTTTGTCTGTCCAAATAAATTACTGGATGCAGAGAGGTAGGCAGGTCTATTTTCCACAGAGGTTGAGGCAAGATGGGTCAGGAGATGATAACCTTTGGTTGATTCTAGCTCGTGATCGACGTATATATAAAACGGTTAGGAAAGGGCTAATGAAAAAAGAAGAAAATACAAATGAACTGGATGCAGAAAATACACAAATTCTGCTTACAGTTGAAGAGAGTGCTTGAAGCCCAGCACAACGTAGACGCAGTGCTCTTTCATCATCCCCAATCTCTTGAGCTATCAGACACAGTTTCGGAACCAAGCCTTCCAAGTTAAACGTATAGGTACTATCCCTCTAAACAAATAAAAATATCACATCAGCCAAGTCATATAGGTGCAGATTTGGGAATATCAAGGAGAAGATGAACTGTACCTGGTTATTTATGAAGTCAAAGAGGGCTTGACAACCAACAATACGCATATCATCATGTCTTGTCTGCTCCAGCAAAATGTGTATAATACTAAGAAAACTTCCAGCAAACAATGGCCTGCCACACGATACTTGATATTATTAACCAAACTATAGCATCTAAAGAAATAAATTCACAAAACCAAAACCAACTTTGTAAATATGCAAATGAGAATGTCATCTTCGTACATATATATATGTAAAAGATGGGAATCATCAACTTGAGTAAAAAAATTTGAACTTTTAAGTTCATGTTAGATCTTTTCGTATATAAGATGCATATAGATACTCAATAATAAAGTTATAAATGCTTCTCGTCTTAATTGCCAACGTTGCATTTCCTTAATAATGAAACCAAATGAAGAATATTATTAGGCACTAATATCACAAAATGGATTGTTTCAAGGGTGGCAAAAGGTCTAGGGAGCTATATATCTGATAGCCAGTAGGACAACTGAGCAGTTGACAGTCAGAGAAACCGTATGTGAATTTAGAGAAGTTGTAGCATAAACTCTGGGACGACTTACCAAAAATCCTAGAGATTGCTCCAAATATTCCCTTCCAATAGAAAAACATACTTATTCTGGACTCGGGTTATGTATGGTTCAGAATTTGAAATGAATCGTTAAATATTTGATAAATAAGCATTTCAGTATCAAATATAATAGTTGAGACTCCAATCTATTCTTATATTTTTTTCTCAGCAGCAACACATTATGATGAGACAGTTTGGGATTGTTACAACTTGGGATTGTTTGGGAGTGCTTTTGCAAAAGTTCATTATATCCCAAATGGACTTCTCTAAAAGTCTCCATTCTTACTTCTCTTGAATACACTTATTGGTGAACCAATTTATCCATGAACCCATTCTTAGTCAAGCACCAAACTTGAATTATTCTTGAAATGCTTTTTTGCATCCAAAGCCCTTTTGGGAAATGCTTCCAAACAAGCACTTCAATAAAGTTTGGCCGAGTTTATTATGTCATCAAAGCCGAAGGAAAAAACTGCATGTCAATTATAAACTATTAACCTAAAATTGGGACTGCAGGACAACAACTACAATGAAATCAACCGGAATAACTGAACTCACATTTGCTGTTGGCAAGATATGATCAACTTCCTGTATATACACATGACAACTTTTACACACTTAATATTCGCACTTCTGAGTTCCCGGTAACACCTTTCTTCAAGTACACTTGTAATCTGCTCAAAAAATCATTAATTGTCATTGCTACTATAGCTTGTGCCAAAATAAAATAAAGAAATGTTCATCTTTAAATGAGAAGAAATAAGCCTGGCTGTTGTTGATTCAAATTTCAAAATTAATTAAATATTTCAGTACAGAAAGGCATAATAAGGACAGTGCAATCTTAAATAAATACTTGAGGGTATAAAGCCAACACAAATTTTCACAGTGGTTTATGATTCTTCTGTAAGATATCATGAAGTACAAAACAATAGGTGTTTTATCAATAATCTGAAAAGCAATCAGGCTTCCAATGACACTTCTAGGCACAGTTGCGTATGAAAATTATCTTCAGATGGACACAACATCCCATGTGCAGGTGAGATTTCAAATGCAAAAGATTGGAATATATAATTCGATTCTACTGAAGATCTGATATGATTTCATGCGAATTAGGAAAATATGAAATTGTTTATTTTCCTTTGTTGTAACTCGTCTCTTGTAATGTAAATACAGCATCCTATGTATAAGAAAAATATACAACAGAGTTTTCATAGAACACTTTCTATACATACAATTGAAGATGAAAATTGAAGAAAAAAGATTGTCCAACGAAGATTCATATTGAGTGAAAATAAAATCAACTCTATCACAAAAAAACTACAGGAGTAACAGCCATGTCTTATATTTAACAAAGGGTACCAGTTTTAGGGACACCAAGACAATATGAAAGGTGCGAACGCGCAATTATTTGGTATAGGATAGGATCTGAATAGTTTCTGCATAATTTAGTTACAAATTAACAATTCCAACTATGGACAACAATCCCTCAATGGGTATAGTATGAGAAGAGAAACTTTGACATTCTCACACGTGGATCCCAACAAATATTATTCGACTACGGATCATAATTATGTAAGGAATTGAAGAACACTAACCTCGGGTACACGTAGAGGATTTTTTGATGCATATTCACAAAGTTTACCGATCATTCTTTCGTTAGGTTCTTCATCCTGTCAACAGCAAGAGATAGAATGACTCATAAACACACACATAAATATATGTATGAGCGTGCTATCTGCAACACAAGATCATAACCAATGCATTCTTGAAGTAATTATTTGTAGTAAAAGACAAGCCTAGAAACAGATCAAACAAATCATCACGGAAAATAAAGATACAATGCAAAAGATCAGCAATTTAAATTTTAGGTTTCACAAAGATACAGACTACAGGCATATCATGATGTAACTGTTTGATATCGAATTTGAAATTTCAATAGCGAAGTATAAAAAAGCGTGGAAATTTTACGAGTCACAGCACTTGTGGTGTATGCCCTCCTGTGAAGTAAAACGTCACCCATCTCTGGTAGAATTTTTAACGGTGCTCTTAAAATGGAAAGATAGCTGGCTGTTTCTTGTTACTATGTTAATGCATACAAGTATATATTCTATTCTATCAATTTGCCATCCGAGAAATTATTGTTTTTTAATCATCTTATCTAACTCTTGCATTCCAATTAATCTGTTACATTAATTTAGCTCCTTTTGTGCTAAATTGTTATCTCAAATTGGAGCATAACTACATAAAAGGAGAGAATCGAGATGGTACATTGGCTCTGACTTATGGACAACACATACACAGTTCCCCTAAAATCTTACTAACCAATTTCAGTTGCGCGGTTACCTTTGTTTCTACAATATGCCGCTTCATTGCAATATCATACCACTGCTCATTACAACCTCCTTCTGTAGCTCGAATACTACCACTCACTCTTCATCAAGATCACCAATAATCCCCACACGAACACACGCCGTCCTTAAAATGATGAAACCTGTGCATATCCCGCACGATAATCTCTCTCCCAGTCACGAGCGAGATATATTTAGTCGCGTTATGGCAGTCCCCACAAACCCGAAGATTCTTCCTTATATGAATAGTGGTCCCTGGGTCCGTACTTATGAGCCCAAACGAGATAGCAAGCTTCTCACTATGAGTGCTCAGCAATTGCTCCTGAACATCGTCTTCCACATCATGCATCAAGCTCTTATCCGGAACATACCCAGCCTTCTTGATCCTCTCAATCAATTTATCGAGATATGCGTAAATCCTATCAGACTGCGGGTGGCTCGTGCTCCCCGAATAAAACGTGTGCACCTCATTCCACAAATCCACCGAGCTATAACCCGGAGTCTTCTGAATCCCCTTCTTCTCCATCAACTTTCTCACTTTAGCCACTTTCTCCCACATGGACGCGACTGCGTATATGTTTGCAAGCAAGACGTGATACCCCCCTTCATCGGGCTCCAATTCAAACACTTTGTCAGCTGCTTTTTCACCCAAATCCACATTTTTGTGGATCCTGCAAGCTCCAAGCATCGCGCCGTACACGTTGATTCCGGGCTCGACCGGCATTTTCTGAATAAAGTCCCAGGCTTCGTTTACCCGGCCTGCCCGCCCCAAAAGGTCAACCACAGCTCCATAATGGTCCATCGATGGCTCAAGCCCGTACTCTTCCATCATGAGATCGAAATAACGGCGGCCCTCGTCTACGAGGCCCGAGTGACTGCATGCAGAGATCACGCACAGAAAAGTGATATCGTTCGGTATAGTTTCAGTATTTCGCATTTTTTCGAATAGTTCCAGAGCTTCCCGCCCAAAGCCGTGCGTGCCATAGCCGTCGATCATGGCATTCCACGTGGTGACATGTCGCTCATCCATCGAGTCGAAAAGCTCTTTCGCCATGCGTACGGACCCGCACTTTGCGTACATGTCGACAAGGGCAGTCATCACAAACATGCTCGTATCCAAACACGTCCTTAATGAGAGCCCGTGGACCCATTTTGCGTGCTTCAACACCGAGAGCTCGGCCACTGCGGTTACAACGCCAACTAGCGTGAACGAGTCGCGTCTCGTTCCGCCGCGCTTTTGCATTTTGCGGAAGAGCTTCATAGCCTCGATCGCTCGGCCATTTTGGGCGTAGCCCAGAATCATCGCGTTCCACGAGACGAGCGTTTTTGTTTTCAGCTTGCGGAATAATTGGGCGGCTATATCCACCCTTTTGCACTTGCAGTACATTGAGATGAGAGAATTTATTACGGAAACATCCGAATCGAGTCCCGACTGATTAATGATAAGCTGGTGAATGAAGTGACCGCGGTTAATGTCGCACAAATCGGCGCATGCGTGGAGGGCGCCCATCACGGTAACATTGGTCGGCTTCAAACCCGAATCGAGCATCTTTTGGAACAAATCTAATGCTTCTTTGGAATCCCCACTTTGTGCATATCCATCGATCATTGAATTCCATGATACTACGGTTTTGGAGCCTATCTTATCAAAAACCCGTCTAGCGGTCCCAACCAACCCGCATTTTGCATACATGTCTAATAAAGCCGTGGAAACATTCACGTACGACTCCAGTTTACGTCTCAGGACGTACGCGTGGACTGTTTTCCCCATCCTCAAATCTCCGATACTGGCGGAGGCTGGCAAGATGGAGACCATGGTGACCAGATCAGGGGCATGACCGTCTTTTTGCATATGGGGGACCAAATCAAGCGCCCTCTTCGGCATCCCATTCTGTTGGAAACCCGCAATAACGGTGTTCCAGCAAACCAAATCTCTTTCGGGCATTTTATCGAACACCTTGAAGGCTTCGTGAATCAAATTGCATTTGGCATACAAATTCATCACACTGTTCATGGCGTACAAATTGTCGGAGAACCCATTCAACACCAGCTGCGCGTGGATCTCTTTCCCCCTCCAAACATTGAAATTGTCCGCGCAGGCTTTTAACAAATACGAGTAATTATACACCGTTTGAGCAACGCCGTCGTGCCTCATCCGGCAGAAGAACTTGAAAGCGGCCTCTAGATTGGGCTGCTGGGCGTAGCCTTTAAGGAGGGTGTGGTAGAGCGGGTCGATTTTGGACTCGATCGGTTCGAACACCTTGACGGCGTCGTTTAGGCTCCCGAACCTGCAGAACAAGCTGACGAGCTTGGTCTGGAAGAGGTGCTCGCCGCACAGACCGTTTTTTATGATAAGAGGGAGGAATTGACGGAGCTCCTTGATGGAAGTGCATAGCTCGAGGAGTACCGCGGCAGGGTGTCTGTACACGTGGTCAGGGATGTGGACCCGCGGCGAGAAGAAAGGAGTGGCGGCGGAGGAGAGTGGCGGCGGAGGCGGTGTGCGGGGCAGTAGGAGGTGGTGGCTCATGGATGGTGGCAGCCGGTGGTGGGAGGTTGAAGAAGGAGACAGATGTGGCAAGTGTGGATATTTTGTGCCTCCGACGAAATTTTACGCCGGAAAAAATGTTTTTTTTTTTTTTTTTGTCAGTTAAGTTCGTTATGTGATGTTTTTTTCTTATCGTTAATCCATCCATTAATTAGATGTTGCAAGTGGAGTTTAGTAATACAAACACAAATTGTTTGTGAGCTGAGCTCGACTCAACTCGACTAAGCTCGTAAGATTCATTTATTGATTTATATAGTTAACAATGAGAGTTCAACTTGACTCATAAAAGGCTCGAAACAGTGCATCAAGTGTTGTGGACTCAGCTCGTCACATTAACTGTTAGAGACTCTAAGTTTTAGGTAAACACTTATGCAATTACTCGAGTAATTTTTCTTTTCGAAATACGTCATTCAAAATTAAATTATACAAACTATTCAGAAACGAGTTATAAACTTAAAAACGATGAAATTTAAAAACCAGTGATAAACTTAACTTTATACCAACTATTCACGAACTAAAAAAATTAATTTAATTTACAGTTATAAATAAAAAAATTTAAATATGGAAATAAAAACGAATTTGCGTGCATTTTCGATTTTCATTGTCTACTTTACCCATTGTTTTAAATAGCACGTTATATCACATTAGAAAAAGAAAAGAAAATGCGAAGTAGTATTATATATTTAGTGTTTTTACCCGAAAATCTGACGCCAAATGCTAAAATGGTGTGTTTTTTAATGATATGTTACTCTATTTCATGCTATTTTGCGCTATAATTCTGCAACGACATTTGACAATAAAATATTTAAAAACATTGTTAGGTTGTAAATAAATAAATGAATATTTTAGGTTGAGTTGAGTTAGGGATGAGTTGGGTTAGGTTGGGTTGGGTTGTTGAAAAGGATTGTAAAACCTTTTTAACATAGACTAATGAGGGGTGACATATATATGAGTCATTCAAAAAACAACACAACAATTTCATTTTGCTAATTAGCTATACACTGCGAGTACTCGCAACTCGCAACATACCAATTCAACACTGGAAATATCACAGCTTGAAAAGGATAATAATGTTTGGGCTCATGATCATATTATTTGTCAAATGAAAAGGAAGTTTCACCAATATTATAAAATTAAGGAGATGAAGAATGAGACCCACATAATATGGGTTGAATCAGTTTTTGTGTGTAATAAATAAATAAGTATAAAATTATTTGGAGGTGGATCGGACGTAATTGGAGCAAAGTAAAAAGAGCCAAGCTGATTTTGTTTTGAGACAAGGAGTGATCATATTCATGATGTGGATGTGCTTGATGATGGCTACAAATGGATGAGTCAAGCTTTAATATTTTCTTCTTCCGTAATATCTCTACTTCAGACTCATGCTTTTCACTGGTACTTCACATCAGCACTTGCCCGTTCATTGCTGGCAGCATATCCACTGTTTGTGGTGAATGTAAGACTGATTCCTACATTACATAGTTTCTTCGTGAAATTTAGCATAGTGGAACTGTCTGAATTAGTTGTATATGTCAAGCAATGCACTTGAATTAATGTTTTTTCATTTGAGGGAAACAAATTGTTGTCTCTTGCTCCATCTCATCTCTATGTATAGTAGGCCACTTGTTTTAATTAAACTTTATGTTCATGTTAGACCAAAAGTTGCTGTTAAATTTTTTTTCGCCCAATTTTGATCTGTTACATGGTTGTTGCAGCTTGGTGTCTTCCTTGACAGAAGGGTTCTATTCTACATCATTCCTGTTTTCTCATTTATTTTGCTTTATTCTAAACTTCCACACAAGGTACGTATTTCGAGCCTAAAGTCTAGCAGCATTTAACTTCGTGTTCGTCTTTTTTACAACTTTAAGATTTCCCTGCTGTAGGAACTCCGCTTCATTATTGGTTCTCTTCCTATGTTAAACTTCTCAGTTGTTGTTGCTGCTAGCAGAATGTATGCAAATTCTCCAATCAGTGTTCAAATACTTGTAAAAAAAATATCATAAAGTATCTAATATCATCATTATCCTAATTTGTCAAGTACATCCTTTATTTGATGTTTGACATTTTGATGACGTTGGTTAACGTTTCTTTGTGTCGATTCTCCAGCTACAACAATAGGAAGAAGGGTATCTGGAACTTAATATGTTTATGTTGCCTAGCTCGGGTTGTTCTTGATATGGTTAATATGATGTTAATATTATTCTTTTCTTGTTTTTTTTGCACATGACTCATTACTGCTCACTTTGTATTATGTAGTCTACGATGCACAATGTTGACATTTATGGCATCGTGCGAAAACTATCCAAGTGGATATGCCTTAAAAGCTTTGCATAAGATAAGTGAGCTCTCCCTGCCTCCTTCCTCTGCACACACGCCACTATTGCATAACTGACGATTTCTTAACCCTTCAGATTTTTAGAGTCAAGAAAAAAAAAATAAAAAAAAAGAGAGATCTTAATATTGTCTTTTACAGAGCATCTAAACTATTCAAAAGAAGTATGGGTTCACATTGACACCTTTTCAACCATTAATGGGATCTCGCGCTTCTGTGAGAATAACGAGCCATGGCGGTAAGACTTGATAACATTTCCCAATTCTTAAATTTTAGAATTGCCTTCCAAGATTTTTCTTAGCTATATATTACTGTTGTATCACTTTTAGCAGAGAAATACCCCTTTTATCACTATCAAGTAGTGATTGTTGACTTAGTATGTGTAGAAAATTTACTTATTGAAAAGTCTTCAAATGCTTTCTTCACTCGACCAATTATGTTCATTGATTTGTTTTATTCTTTTTCTCCATGCTTAATATCTCAGCCTGATCATGTTATATCATAATTCATAATGGAGAACAAATGCATAAACACTAAACAGTCCTATATTTGTTTCACTGTTAAATTCTTGTCCGTGTAATTAGAATATACAATCTAAAAGTAAGTTTATGGAAATACCAAAAGTATGATTTTTAAAGTTTACAAAATAGCATTTCGAAAGCAAATTCGAGTAGTGGTTTGAAATAATAATTTTTAATTCCAACAATTTGTTTAAGTGATATAAATTAAATATAATTTCAAGAAAGCTCAATATAGAACTAAAAACACTAATCAAGTATTTCTCTAAAAAAAATAAATTAATTGATTTCAAACTAGCTTAATATAGAAATTTTCATAATAAGATTGTATAAGTAAATGTTACTGCATATATATATTAAATATTTAAACAGGCAGTCAAATTTGCTAATACAACCACGTTATCTTGTGGTGGGGTTCTTTCTAAATAAAACAGACTTCAGGGGCATAAAAATAAATAAATAGACGGAACAACAGTCAACAGAAGAGAAGGGTGCCCGTTTTTATCTTGAGATTTTCTTCTTTCGCCTAAACCCTACACCGGAAAATTTGACACAGCGCCATGCTTCTCCAACCCGCCTTCCCAAAGTCTCCTCCAAATTATCCTAAACAGAATCGGAGCACTGTATACGCTCCAAATTCGCCCTCATTTTCATCTGGGCTCCTTAAAAATTCGACCATTTTTCTGAAGCAGTCCATCTTATCCACCAGCTACAGAATCCATAAGAAAAATCAGGTTTTTATTACGTGTTCATCAGTATCAAATGCTCACAGCTATGGACCAGTTCACTATGATGAGAAGAGGCCCACGATGAAGTGGAACAGTATATGCAAGAAAATAATTAAGCTGGAAAACTCAAATTTGGGGGCTGCTTCAGTGTTGAATCAGTTGGAAAATAAGGGCAAGATGATCACAAGTTGGGAGATGTTCAACATTTTGAAGGAGCTTAGGAAGTTTAGGCGGTTCAAGCTTGCACTTGAGGTAATTTTGATTTTTGAACGGAAAAAATAAAAAAAGATGGGGAAAAATTGAAGTTCTTAAGAGAAGAAGTGTGATCAGTACGGTGTACTCTGTGGTTTTCTGGAGAATTAAAGAATGGTCCTCGATTTATTCTATTTTGTGTACTCATGTTCCAACATATATGTAGATATTTAACTTTTTTTTTTTTGTGTGTGTGTGTGTGTTAGTCTTGTTCTAACATATATGTACAAAGTTAGGTTTTTTATTTGCTTTTTTCAGGTATATGAATGGATGAGTAACAGGCCAGAGAGGTTCAGAGTAACCACCAGCCACACCGCCATACACCTCGACCTCATTGCAAAAGCGCACGGTGTCTCGAGCGCCGAACAATACTTCAAAAATTTACCAGACGGCTTAAAGGACACGAGAGTATACGGCTCCCTCCTGAATGCATACACCCACTCAAAAATGAGGGAAAAAGCCGAGTCCTTAATGGACAAAATGAGGAATCGAAACTACACCTACAACACCCTTCCTTTCAACGTGATGATGACCCTCTACATGAACCTCGAAGACCACGAGAAAATCGAGTCATTAGTATCAGAATTAGTTGAGAGAAGGATATCGCTAGATATCTATACCTACAATATATGGCTCTCTTCCCGTGGGTCCCAAGGCTCCCTGGACAAAATGGAGCAAGTTTTTAAGCAGATGGAGCTCGACAATTCCGTAAATCCTAACTGGATAACTTACAGCACAATGGCCATGACGTATATTAAATCGGGGCTCCTGGAGAAAGCTGAGGAATATCTGAGGAAAATGGAGGACCTGATTACAGGCCGTCGAAACCGTAGTCCTTACCACTATCTTATTAACATGTACGCTGCTGCAGGCAGGAAGGAGGAGGTTTATCGAATATGGAGCGTTTACAAGGCCTCATTTAAAAATATCCCCAACTTGGGGTATCATGCGGTAATTTTAGCCCTCACCCGCTTGGATGACATCGAGGGTGCCGAAAAGATGTACGACGAGTGGCTTTCAGTAAAATGGGCTTACGACCCGCGGCTGGGGAATCTGCTTTTGAGCTCATATGTGGGAAAGGGGCTTTCAGAAAAGGCTAAGACTTTTTTCGAGCAGATGATGGAGATTGGGGGGAAACACAACTCGCTGAGTTGGGAGATACTCTCGGAGGACCACATTGCAAATATGAGGATTCCCGAGGCCCTTTCTTGCCTGAAAAATGCTGCAGCCTTAGCTGAGGGGTCAAGAAACTGGAAGCCGAAGCCTGTAAATGTGTCGAAAATTCTCAAGATTGTGGAGGAGGGTGATGACGTGGCAGGTAAGGAGTCATTGGTGGAGATTTTGAGTCAGGTTGGGTGTCTGGACGATGCAGATTACAAGTCACATATAGCCTTGTCGGGTGGTGAAAAGTTAGCCGGGATGGGCCCGAATGAGGAGGGTAGTGCTGCAGGTGATGATGAAAATTTTGAGCTTCTCCACGAACTCCAGGAGAGCTTTTGAGGGCTCGTTTTGCTGAGATGTTTGAGTGTTTGTAGGAAAAAAAAAACAAACGCCTGGGCGGTTTTTGTTATTGAGTTGAACTTTTGTTTTTGTTTAACTCTATCAATAGGCAAAACAAACTTCACAAGTGTGGAAGTTGGTCATTTTGGAACTTGGCCGGTTATTACATTTATTAGTTGCATGGTTTAAATCTATTAATATATAAAGAGGGAATGATATTTATTTGAAAAAAGTTGAAAAAAAATCAGCAAAAAAGAAGAAGTCAATTCCCGCCCAAAGTGAATAAAATGAGAAAGATTTTTGGCTAAAATTAAAATTCGAGCGCCAATTTTGAAAATTTTGAAAAAATAAATAAATTAAAAAATCTAAATAAAAAGATTACATGAAGATTTTTTTGGAGATTCCATATTATTTTACTTTCATAAATTAGGAATGGACACTTGTCCTATTTTCATTGGTCCACTATAAATTTTATATGATAAGATAAGTATAACTCAAATTATTGATATTATTTTATTTTAAAAAATAAAATAAAAAATACCAAAATTCGTATTTTTTCATACTCTATAAATAGAGACCACTCTTGATATGTTTTGGAACACAATTAAAATTATTATGTTGGGTTAGATTGTAGATAAAACAATACCAAACAATGTATTGTAGATAGTATTTATTAAATAAATAAATAAAAATAAAATAAATAGTATACTATCTTTATTAGGTCACCAACTAAAAAAAAATAGCAAAATCCGCGACTCAGGTCAAATTGTGACCCTAGATCGCAACCTAGACACAAGGAGGGAGAGAGAAATGAGGTGAGTGAAATGGAGCAAATGCCCCATTGTTATTGGTCTATAAAATTTTTCTATAATAAGATAATTGTAACTCAAATTATTGATATTAATTTATATGAAAAAATAAATAAATTTTATTTTTCATTCTCTATAAATAGAGACCAATCTTGATATATTTTGGAACATAATTGCAATTTCTATCTTTTCACTCTTTTTTCTTAATCGTAACTTATCAATTTTATCATATCTTTTATTTTATCATATCACAACTAAAAC